TGAAGACAGCAGTTTTTCATAAAAGGAAAACTGGCTGGCTGGCCACGCACTGCAGTTCCTGGATATTTGTGGAGAGACTAGAGGTTAAACAGAGAGGACATGCAGAGTGAAAGATACCGAACGTGATCAGGAGCCCACGAGCAGCCTTTTCATTTGCTCCCAAAACTAATGCATTTGACGTGTTTTCTCTCTCAAAAGGGGAAGTGTTACACTGATACGAAAAATATTCACAAACGTCTGTTTTTAAGTCATTTCTTTCCCCTCTTTCTCTTTCTTCCCCTCTCCAGCTCCCGACAAGTGGTTCTGAAAACTTTGCTTATAAAGCAGACATATTTTTATTTTATTTTACCCAAAAATAGTATAACTGTCAGAGGTATAGCACACAGCGGAGCAGCTTTTCCCCTGACCGTTGGCCTCCCTGGAGCTTCTGCCCTAGCCTTTCCCTTACTTCCTACGTCTTTACGTAGACTCACCGTGAGTCACCAGGCCTGGCACCAAGTGCTTTTGACCATGACACAACTGGAGATGTTGCCTGTGCTCTGTGAATGCTGGCCAACAATCCAGTATTCTATGCCACTTCAGTGGCATCAAAAATTAAAGCCCACTAACCAATTATTTCTATAATTGTGGGTAATAAAAAAGGTTGTCACTTCTACTGGCTTCACTGGGGGAAGAGCTCTTCTTTGTGCTAATAGCACTGGTGATCATAATAGCACCATCCCCTTGTAAGAATGTGATCTTTACAAATTCATATATTTTTGTTACCTCACTGTTTATTCTAGTACTTTATTCCCCATACATTTATTAAATTTTCACTGTGGCCAGGAAAGATCATATCTTCAGTCAGATCAGCAGAACAAACTGCTTACAAGTATATTTTCCTGGTGCATCGAGAATTAGGAACGACTTGTTTCACCCTTTTACAGGAGGAATAATGCTTTCAGAAACGCCACTATGACAATATAGCGGCGCAAAGATGCCCCAAGTTACAGCAGTAATGCTATAGCAGGAAACAGGAGCAGCACCTTCTTGCTGACCCTCAGTTATACGGTGTCACAATCAATGACAGCACCCTCAGGACCCGCACTGCGCCTCTGCTGCTGCAATGTGCCCATGAGCGCTGCAGCCAAGGCAGAGCACTGGCCAGCGTGTTGCCCCAGCTCTGCTGCACGGGGCAGATATGTCCTCAGGCACCTCAGATTCGGTGACTTTCTGTGGCACTCCAAGGGTCTGAAGACCTCCTCCTCAAAGGTATCCTCAGAAGATGAAACACAGAAAATTTACAGAGTTCAGGATTTACTCCTGCCTGGATTCAAATCTCCAAAGAGAATACCTGCAACCATCTGTACTCATTTAAACACACTACCTAACCAATACAGGCTGCCAGGAAAAATAAGCATTAAAAAAGACAAAACAATACTTAAACTTTTGGTCCCCAACATAGTGAACTTTCCTTTCAGCAGCACTGCATGTTAGAAAAAGAATGCTATCCCTTTGCCTTCGAGATTGAAACCACCTTCCTTCACAAACCAAACTGTTTTGTTTTCCAGGTGTTCTTTGTTCAGCTAGAGACAGTGGTAGTTATGACACATTTCTATAATTGACAACTCCCAATTGAGAAAACTTGACATGGCATTTAATTTATGAGCCTCAGGGATCTAATGTTGTGAAGCAATGCAGTTGTGCAATCCATTAGTGCAGAAAGCTTTCAAGGAATACTAAGAAACTTGGGGACACATACATCAAGCTTACCAACTTTACAAACAGAATATTGGCTGTGTACACTGCTTTTCAAGAAAATACAAAGAATTCCTTTATGATATTTTTACTTGTTTTTCTTGCATTATCTAAGTACAAGAAAATGTTCCAAGGACCTGGATTTCAGTCCAAAGTAGCTGAATAGAAAATATGTGCAAGTTGAATAGATTAAACAAAAGGTCATAAACATTTCTGAATGGAATATACACTCAAGAAAAATCTTCTTTGTTTGTCTTGTAGTTCTGTGCTTGAAAACTGTTCCTCAGGGTGGATTCTGAAGCCCTCGGAGTATGTGCTGGGAGGCCTGCTATGAACTGTGGCACCTCCTTCAGGAAAAAGACCTGAAAACGATCAGGAGGGCTGGAGCATCTGTAAGCATTCACCATCTGGGAGCTGAGTTGGTAGCAAGCAGACTTCATTTAGAGGCTACTAATTTTCCCATTAGCATCAAAATGCTATTTCCTTTCACCAGTCTGGATGGTTCAGACTTGGCGTCCCTTCCTTTCCCTTCCCCAAAGGCACGCTCACCATCCTATCTTGCTTGCCTCTTTTTTGAAAGCACAGGCCACTTTCTTCTCTGGCAAGGAACAATAACAACTATTTAGAAAAAACAAGTCGTCTTCTGAGCTTCACGCATTTCTGAACTCCAGAATCTGTGGCCAAAAGGCAGAAAGAACCTGAGATATTTCGGACCCAGGAAATGGTAAACTCCATATGAATGCCATAGGAATTTCCATATGAATTTCAATAGGATTTAAGACCTGGTGCTAGACTTACATTTGGAAGCTGTTGTAAATGATTTGGCAATTTGTTTTGATTTAGATGAGAGCACTCAAATGTTAAAAAATAGCCTTTTGGATGCCCTTAAGGCCTGGAAGGAAGGCCGTTAAACATATACTTGTTAGTAAGAGCAAAAGTCTATGGCCAGAAAGAGATTCAGTGGCAGCACTGCCAGACATAGCTGGTCTTCAGGAACTAGCCAGGGTAGGCTCTTAGATACCATACTTTACGCATGGGATGGTTACCTGAGATGGAAACCTCCTGCAAGCTGTTGAAATTAACAGCAAGGAGAAAACCACTTTAGCTAGCAAATGGGGAAACCCTGAGGAAAGGCTTAGATTTAAAATTTTCTGTCCTCAGTGGCTCAGCTGTCATACTCCAGATTATTAGAAGGCACCTTCCTCTCTTCAAATCAAAGCCCAAACTACAACACAGAGTGGAGGGATCTGGCAACGCTCTGCAAAGACAGGACAGTCCAGAGTCGTCTGGTGGACATGTGCACTTAGGTGGGAAGTGGCTGACTGTTTTCACCTTTGTACTTGGGAAGGGGAAGAAGAAGAGCTCAGATCTGCCCTTCTCTATTTCTTTGGAAAGTTCCCAAATCAGCAAGCGATGGCACTTGTCCTCCTCTCTGCTCGGACACCCTGCGCAACAGAAGGGCAGCCCCTCCAAGACAAAGAGAGAGCAAATGACAACTTCCTACACTACACACAAAGTGGAGAGAGGGGTAGCTCTCCATGTTAACCATAATCCCTTGAGTCCTGAAAGCAGCAAGGCTAAAAAAACTAATTAGCCTAAGCATATCACCACGCAGAGGAAGCTATACTTTTTCTCATCCTTGGGTAGTCAAGACACACACATGCTCTGTAGCCAAAGGTGAGTGGTGTCAATCACTGCTCTGGTCATGATTTAGTTATGCTCTCTGACTTTCCACGGGTGATAAAAATTGGGTTTTCTGGTATCTGTAAAGGCTGAAGACAAATCTGATTATCGACTGAAACACTAGACAATGCATGGTATACAGCTGCAGCAAGAAAGAAAACAGAAGAGACTGGGGAGATGAGCCTCAAATATAAAATGTACTTTACTATATTTTAGGCCTGCCCCACTTGACAGTCTTCCATAAAAACAATCTTAGTTGAGACATTTACAAGCACAGACCATAGACGAGCCAAAGATCCCTTTTATTTCAGGAAACGTAGAGAAACTTTCCATGCACATATACACACAGATGCACTCACAAAACCTCCTTGAGTATTACTTTAAGAGAATCAGCACTACTGCTCAGCTTAGATCAGCCAGAACCACTTCATTTTGATTGAAGAGAGGAAAAACAACAACAGTAAAACTCAAACCACTGGGTTCAACAATTTGGGCCAAGTCCTAAAAATAGAACTACTTTCTTATGGAAAGGAATACACACATACACACACAAAAAACTCCAGAAGATCTGAACCGTTCTCAAAATTGTCTGAATTTGGTGCCAAGCACACAGGGCAGCCTAATACTTAAGAGGCCTCTTGTGCCAGTTTTGGATCTCTGCAGTGAGTAGGACTGAATATCCAAGACTGGGAAGTAACTATGGAAAAAAACCCTGTTTTCTAGTGGATGAGCTGTTGAGCCATTTTAACTGTTGCTTGAACATTTGCCTCTAGGCAACACAATGTAAAATCTTTCTTTAACAGACACCATCCAGCTGCTGGGTTTTGCAGCCTGGCACAATGCTGCAGGAACAACCTCCAGCACCCGCCTTCCCACAGCGCCCGCGTCCAGGTAGCAGTTTTACTACAGCGCAGAAACGCTGCTGAGTCGGCGAGGCCGGCAGCTCCACCCTTCCGCACTGTCCACACCGGACGTCTTCGGATGCGTTTGCCCATGAGAATGGAGCCGGTTGTGCTGTGAGGAGCTGGTGCGAGGGTGGTCGCGGGGGCTCATGACTCTCGTGCCCCCACTGGACTGGGCAAATGACCACCTTCCTTCCAGGCTTTGAGAGAGGAGCCACAGGTACCTGGACAATATGCGAAGAGATGTGTGAGAGAAGCTTGTGTTATTTCTAGGCCTGAAGACATTCTGGATTGCTTTTTATCGAAATATCTTTCTCCTGGAGAGTCTAGTTTATTATGGAGGGGTTCCAGCATTCACAGTTCTGAATCGGTGCTCTTCGCTGCTGAAAAGAAACTTCTTGTGACAATGCAGTCAGCAAACACAAGATATCTTTATGTGTGAAGTGTTTTTTCCACGTATAGAAACAAGGCAGAAGTGGCTGGTCAAACAGCACGTTCAGTAGGTGCCACCGTCTCCCCTCTGAGAGAAACGGCGCATTTCACAGCGAGCAGAGCACGGCTCCAGCAGCCTGGCCGTGTGCCAACTCCGATTTCTGCTTTGAAACCGCGCCTGCGTTTCTCAGGGTATCACTGATACAGCATGGATCTGCCGCTTCACAACAAATTACTGCTGTGTATTACTTGCATTGCGATAGTGGTCGAAGTTAATAGTCATGGACCAAGGCCTTGCTGTGCTTGGTGCTCTGCAAACTTAGGAAACATTTGGTAGGAATGAAAAGGCACAGAAAATGTGCTTTCAGTGGCAATTCAAGTGACTTAAGACCAAAGTCAGTCTTCTTGTTTTCCTGCCTGCATTGTTCAGAATGGGCTAAACACAAATATAATGTTAAGAAAATGCATAACAAAGTGGCTTATATTTATCTTTTGTGAGACCCTTCATGATCTCACTAAGGACCAGGCAGAAATATAGCCCCTTATGATTTTCCTTTTATGCTTTGCCCAACCTCAAAACATATGGTGCTAAGGGAACGTATCCCTCTCTGGGACAAAACACCGGAACAACAGCTTTCTGCACTTGATACTGGCAAGAAATACAGATCTTTAATATCCAGGCAGAAAGACACAGTTCAGCATTTGCACCAGTCATTTGAGAACTTCACGTTAAGTGACCTGAAATGTCACTACTGACATCTGGCAAACAAGTCATATGACTCCTGAGCGATTATCAAATCTACATCTCCTTATCTGGGTAGGATCACCTCCACCTATGGCCTAACAGATGCAGATGTTTGTCCAAAACTCCTGAAGATGCTGTTCTTGAAGCCCCCAGGAAGCAATTCCCCCATCTTCCACCGTAATTTATTCCAGTCTCCGAGGTTCTTATGAAGCATTTTACTTGCATACCAAGGTGGTCTATATATTTTTTAGTTGTCACTAGACTATGCCATTGATGTAAAAAAGGGCAAAAAAAAAGATCTTGGTAGTACAATTTAGGTCATCTTTAAGAGTTGTGCTGCTGTTAAACAGGCTCCACTGTAGCTCCACCTGTGTCCACGTCGACTCCAGATCCAGTCTTAAGTTCTGTTTCCCAGAACACTTTGTTAGGGTTGTAGGATAAACTATTCTCTTGCACTCTACATGGCTGCATGTATAAGGCACACATGCCTTAAGGCAGCTTGTGGAAGGAGCAAGACTGGCTAAGACTCTGGAGGAAGCAAGGTCACTTCTTTCTTTGTGTAAAAGGGGGTTTTTAAGAAGCCAGTATCCCAGCTGAATTTCTACATGCCAGATATAAGAAATATAATATAAAAGAAATAGTTAAGTGCTATTTTGAGTCACAGAAGTATCATATTCTGAATAATCCTTTTACTGGCAGGCAAATAGCCCTTTCCTGCCTCATCTTTCTCTCTTCCAGAATGTAAAGACTTTAGAGTTTCGCACATTTCCATCACTGCTGTGAAGAGGGCATTTGTTAGCTTCCTTTCTGAGCATGAACTTAGCAAGACCATCACAAAGCACAGAGCAGCAACGCTCATAATTTGTTTAAAACACATTTTCAAAGAGAAAGTCAATATTTTTAATATTAGATTTACCTTCTTTCTAAATGCCTGAGCAAAACAAGTACCCAAATAGAATGTAAGCCTAGAGTAACCAGTTCAAATTTCATCATGTGATTCTGGCCTAGTGCGCAAGAAAACACTCCATTAATTTAACACACAAAATGTGCATTGGAAATATTATTCTAAGCATTTAATGGAGTTATATAATTCTTGTATGTTTGCTAGAGATGATGAAAATATTCAAGAGAAATTCTTCAGTCAAAAATAGCCTTTTAATTTAGAAACAAAAATTCCTTATAGCTTTCACAGACATTTTGTATCAAAACCTTTCTGATAAACATTTCCTCTGATGCTAATACTTTCAATAATAATGCTCACTAAAAAAAGAAACAGGTTATTTTAAACACGGCAAAATAGAAATTGAGACTTTTTTTGCAGAGTTTAGATTTCCAGACAGCTATCAGAAATACTTTCATTTCAGAATACAGAGTGGTTAACTCTTTTATGCAAGAGTCCTAATAATAAAAGTATTTTCTCCCACCTGTCTTTTTAAATTTAACCATATATATGAGTTTTAAAGCTTTCTTATGATTTGGACCAATTATAGAAACCACTTGGAGCTGAGATTATGTCTGTGCTAGGCATGGCTCCGATGCTGAGGCCAACAGAGTGAGTGAAGGAGCATTTTTAATTACAGCACTACCCTACGCAGTTATGGTTACTTAAGTGCACTTGACCCCACCAGTTGTCTAATCCTTCCTTTTAACTTCTCCACGGTCTATTAAACATCCCCATTTACAAGACACTCTGCTGGAGTCAAACACTTGGTGGTTGCAACGTCTGTCTTTCCTGCTTACACTGTTCTGACAGCCCTTTAAAATATTCCAGCCCAGATTTGACCTCTCAACAGTATGCTTCTAAACTGAGTTGATCTCACTGACAAAGATCAAACTGCTACTTCAAGTGTCTCGTGGCTGGATTTCCCTGCAGACCTACAACTCCAAGCTGAAGGTGACATAAAAGGCTACATGCAAGCAGTAGGGCAAGGTGCAAGCCTCTCGTGATCTGGAGAGCAAATGTTACCTATGGCAGAAGTACAGGGAGAAGGGAGGGGAAGTGAGTTACAGACTCATGGCCCTACAGTAAATCCACGCTTAGAACACGTGAGTGACAACCTACTCATCTCCATAACATGATTATGATAGTATAGGTACTAGATTAATAGGTTCTTTGAACAGAAATAAAAGATTCTGCGGTATTTCCCCTTTGCTGTGTTGCTGGATGCATTTGTACTAATATCTCAGACCTTAGCTCAAGTACAGCGAGGGAAACCAACCTCCCTAGAAAAACCAGCAGATCCAGCAGTACAATACACAGTACAGGTCCTCCACATGGCAGAAAGATTTGCTGCTCTCAAGTATATAAAGTTATTAATGAATGCTGTCCTGAGGTTTAGTTGCAAACTGACGTTAAAAAAGAATACAGAATACAGTTCCTGCCCCTTTCCACTCAAAAGACGTATACAGTGTAGACAAAACCACTGCTGTTGCAGGGAAATGAACAGCCTATGCAAAGAGCTGCAACGTCTACAGTAATATCCGTATTTTCATTATCTACTTACAATCAGGAATTTCATTTTCCTTTGAAGTTCTGTCCTCTTCTTTCAGGAGAATTTTCATTGCTGAGGTCTTTAATAACCTTTAGTAGTATTTTAGCAGAGAGAGAAGAGAAAGTTCTTGATTTCACTTTCCTGAAAAGGTGATTTTGCCAGCCGTATACTGGAAACAGTTAACAACTATCTTCCTGAAGGCCCTAGAGAAACACAACAAGTACAAAAAAGTCTTTGCACTAATTCTCACAATAACAGTGTAAAAGAAAAGGATGTGCTTGCCAGACAAGCTCTTTAGGTCTAGTACAGCAGGA